CAAAGAACTGATCATTGAGTATAGGAGGCAGGATGAAGGGAAATTCCTAGTAACCCAAGGACAATGTTAGTGTGTGACTTGAGTGCCATACTTGGGGCTACAGAAGTGTTTTAGAAATTCAGAAAAGCAACAGAGCACCAGGCTGTGTTAAGGAAGGATTCCCCGACACGGATGAACATGGAGTGAGCCTTAAAGAGCATTTAGGATTTGGAGGAGAAAATAGGAAGAAGTATGGCAGAGGGAGGAAGTGGGTGGTGGCTCGAGTATGAAGATGTCTAGAACAGAGAGTTTATGTGAAAAATACATCTAAGATTTTTTTTTTTAACTTTCCTCCCACCCAAAGCCTTATATTTATGTTGATAGTTATCCTGTTCATCATGGACATCACCTAGATGGATGAAGGATATCCTTTCTCCTCTCCAAAGATTATAGTTTCATAAATTTATCCATTTGACTTCTATAGTTAATGAAAATCATGTTGAATTTTAATCCTATCTGTGCTCTTAATTAGTATTTTGATACAGAGTATACAAAAACCATTAAAAAATGGGGCTCAGTCATCACACTACAGAAATGTGATAGGCCAACGACCTGAAAGGGCTCAATAAGTATTTATTAGTTCAATGGAAGAAAGGAAAGAAAAAGAGAAAGAAGAAAGGATGAATGGAATTTGGAACTATTTCTCACTAATTTTTCAAAAGTGAGCTGAACAGTTATTTCAATCATAACTAAATTAGTATTTTGAGTCCTATTTTTAGCTTTAACTCACTGTAACTTGCCATGTCTTCAAGAATTCTGAGTACACAACTAGTATATTTTAATTTTCTTTTTCAGATTAACTATGGTTCTTCATCTTTTTTCTAAAGTTCCTAAAATTTTCGATGGGTAACAAGAGTTATAAACAGTTCCATTATTTCTTCCAGGAAGAGCTCAAACCTGAAATACCAGAAGATAGCTCAATAATAATAGGGGAAAACAGCAATAATTTGGTTCCATCTTACAATACTCTAAACGGAATGAAAAAGAATTCCAGGAAACATAAGTTGCAGTCTAAATGAGCTACCAAGTTTACATAAACCTTCCTGATAGAGAGAGGAGTGGAACAAAGAATGTGAGAAGAAATAAGTAGTTATTTACAATAACAAACTCCTTTCCCCAGGGGTAAATTATTCTGGAGCAGGAATGAACTGAAATCCTTTGCATAAGCAAGAGCCGAGCAAGATAAACATTTCAGACACTGTCATAGATCTGGAAGACCATCTCAGCATTCCAGACACCCCGTGTTGTTGCATAGTGTGGGAAATGGGCCACCAGCCTTGAAACCAAAGTGGCCTGTTCTCAGGGTGACTTCCGCACTTAAGAGCCAGATAGACTTGGGCAAGTCATTCAGTCCCTCTGAGTCTGCTTCTTCATCTTCAGAACAGGAGTAACTGTACCTAACTCTTAGGATGGTCATCTAGAGCAAAAAGACAGTGTATGCAAAAAGCCTAACTGGGTGTCTGACAGCTAGCAGGAGTTGAGTAAATTACATTGTTTTTGTTCAGTCGCTAAGTCATTCAGTCACTAAGTTCTGTCCCACTCTTTGCAACCCGATGAACTACAGCACACCAGGCCTCTCTGTCCTTCACTATATCCTTGGGTTTGCTCAAATTCATGTCCACTGAGTTGTGAATCTATATGACCATTTAGATAGATTGAGGCTATCTAACCATCTTCATTCTCTGCTGCCTCCTTCTTTTGGCTTCAATCTTTCCAGCATCAGGGTCTTTTCCAATGAGCCAGCTCTTTGCATTAGGTGGCCAAAGTACTGGAGTTTCAGCTTCAGCATCTGTTCTTCCAATGAATATTCAGGGTTGATGTCATTTACGACTGACTGGTTTGATCTCCTTGCAGTCCAAGGGACCTGAGAGTCTTCTCCAGCACCGCTGTTGAAAAGCATCAATTCTATGGCACTCAGCCTTCTTTTTGGTCCAACTCTCATATCTATACATGACTACTGGAAAAACCATGGCTTTGACTAGATGGACCTTTGTTGGCAAAGTGATGCCTCTGCTTTTTAATATGCTGTCTAGGGGCTTCCTTGGTGACTCAGATGGTAAAGAATCTGCCTGTAATGCAGGAAATCCAGTCAGTCCTAAAGTTTGATCCCTGGTTTGGGAGGATCCCCTGGAGAAGGGAATGGCAAGCCACTCCAGTATTCTTGCCTGGAGAATCCCATGGACAGAGGAGCCTGGCAGGCTACAGCACATGGGGTTGCAAAGAGTTGAACACAGCTGAGCAATTAACACTTTCACTTTCTTTTTCGGGTTTGTCACAGCTTTCCTTCCAAGGAGCAAGCATCTTAATTTCATGGCTGCAGTCACCATCAGCAGTGACTGTGGAGCCCAAGATAATAAAATCTGTCACATTTACTTTTTCCCTTTCTATTTGTCGTGAAATGATTGGACTGGATGCCATGATCTTAGTTTTTTAAATGTTGAGTATATTATAACTCTCATTAGTTCTTAAGCAATCACAATGGGGTTCAATTCCCCACTACTCTGTGGCAAGAGGGGAAGCCCTCCTTACCTTTGTGAAGACAATCAAATCAACTTGTTAATTCCAAATAGAATCATTCTTATGGAATATCTACATAGAAGGAATAAAGCTAGAGCTGATTCTCAAGTATCCAATGCAACAAAAGCAGAAGCTACCTGGTAGGAGGGAGCACACATGTTTTTGTTCTTCTGTCTTTGGTTTCAGCTCCTCCCCTCCCCTTTAACCACCTCCAGTCTTCACTCTAATTCACCCACAACCTGTCAAGTTTTTTCTCACTTCTTACCACCCAGAAAACTTGCTGGGCTTTTCTGAAATTTTAAGAATATTCTTTCTGGAAAATTTAAGGGTCAAGAAAAATCTAAAATTCAAGCAAAAACATTTTATACAATTCAAAGGGCAAAAGCCCTTCCCCTAGACCTTGATCATGATTAAAAGCACATATATGTAGAGTCTCGGTTCTGTACAGACGAACCACAGCACTGAAAATGGAAATGTTGTCTTAAGTTATTTCAAAATATGGTTAAAATATACACAAACCACTGGAGAGAATTTAGATCCTTGTCTTACAATAAAGAAAATCTCCTTCTCTTTTTAGTTATAAAAGACTATTACCAACCTTAACATCTAAAATATGCTTTAATCTGTAATATCTAAAGAATGAACTTTAAAAAAAACCCTTAAATCCATACAGTATGCTATTGTTAAAGCCTATTTTGCAGGCTGGAAAAAAAAAGGCTAGAGTGTGGTGGATCTAGAGAGACTTTAAAAAAATTTTGTGAAATATTTTGTAGCTATAAAAATGGTTCTGAAAACTGTAATTTTTAAGACTATTCAAAAGCTAGACTTACTATATGCATAATACAAGTACAGAATAATATGCAAATAGATTTTTTAACAGTGTTTTTGGTTGTGGATATAATGGTATTGAGGGAACAACTTCTGATCACAGAGGTCTAATATCATCAATAACCCTCTCCCACGGCCAGTCTCAGCAAATTTATGAAGGAAATTTGTTTGTCTTCTTTCTTGTCCTGTAATAATCCCATGCCTAGTCCTATTACATAATTTCATACCTGCTCAGGACTTGTCTTAAAAATATCAACCTGATGAACCTGATCAGGATAAACTAGTTTATGTCCAACCTCTTAAAGCAGTCTTTGCATTAGGAAAAACTGATTAACAAAATGTTCCCAACCTTAAAGAATAAATCTCTGATGGTAAAATTTCAGATACTTTGATTTTGGGTAGCTATTTGGGTCAGAGAAGTTTCTGCAGCACAGGACTAGAACTAGAAGGATATCAGTAGTAGTAAATATCAATAACCTCAGATATGAAGATGACACCACCCTTATGGCAGAAAGTGAAGAAGAAATAAAGAGCCTCTTAATGAAAGTGAAAGAGGAGAGTGAAAAAGTTAGCTTAAAGCTGAACATTCAGAAAACTAACATCATGGCATCTAGTCCCATCACTTCATGGCAAATAGATGGGGAAACAGTGGAAACAGCAGTCGACTTTATTTTTTTGGGCTCCAAAATCACTTCAGATGGTGATTGCAGCCATGAAATTAAAAGATGCTTACTCCTTGGAAGGAAAGTTATAACCAACCTAGACAGCATATTAAAAAGCAGAGATATTACTTTGCCAACAAAGGTCCATCTAGTCAAGGCCATCTAGTCAGTAGCCATGTATGGATGTGAGAGTTGGACTGTAAAGAAAGCTGAGCACCAAAGAATTGTGATGCTTTTGAACTGTGGTGTTGGAGAAGACTCTTGAGAGTCCCTTGCAAGGAGATCCAACCAGTCCATCCTAAAGGAGATCAGTCCTGGGTGTTCATTGGGAGGACTGATGTTGAAGCTGAAACTCCAATACTTTGGACACCTGATGTGAAGAGCTGACTCATTTGAAAAGATTCTGATGCTGGGAAAGATTGAAGGCAGGAGGCGAAGGGGACGACAGAGGATGAGATGGTTGGATGGCATCACCGACTCAATGGAGATGAGTTGAGTAAACTCTGGGAGTTGGTGATGGACAGGGAGGCCTGGCGTGCTGCAGTCCATGGGGTCGCAAAGAGTCGGACATGACTGAGCGACTGAACTGAACTGAGTTGTCTTCTACTCTGTTTCATAAATTTTGGTCAGGAGATCATTTGAGCTACAATCACCTTATACCTGTTTTTAAAAACACCAAACCAATATCTAGGCCCAATCCCTGAGTCATTAAATCAGAATTTCTTGGAGAGAGGAACTTGTACTTTAGAAAGAGCAGACAGATGGATAAACAAACATAAAGGAGTATTATTATCCCAATATTGGAAATCATCAGATTATATCTTGTAGACAAAAGCTAAGGGTTTTCGTGTATTAATTGACCTACCAGTATCTGTTGTGGCATGTTAGAACAGAAACTTTGTTTTAAATCACTGGCAGTATGTAAAGGACCCCAAGTTCATCTTCTGCTCTTACCAGGCACTCCATCTTGGATCCAGAAGTTAATGTCCGTCCCATCTCCATTCTTCAGGACCTGTGTGATGTTGATGGGCTGCAGCAGGCTCATGACCTCCTCCATGATGATCCTGGCGGAGTTAGAGCCAGTGAACTTCAGCCCAGAGGGTAAGAAGGTCCCCAGGTCAGACTCCATCACAAGGCTGTAGTTGGAGCTATTTGCCTAAACAAAAGAGATAAGTGTTTGGTTCATATCTGCTGCAACTCTGCCTTCTCTTTGGGAGTTACTGAAAAAACAACAATCAGAGACTTTATCTCCTCACTAGTTGTTGCCAAAACACATCAGGCTCTGCTCAACTTGGGGTCTGGTCTGCATATTACTAATGGTTCTGAGATGCAAACTTACTCATCCTGGGATCTGCCAAATTTGAGTTGACTTGGAAAGATTTTCTTTAAATTCAATGAAAATAAATATAAAGCTCCATATTAAAATTACTTAATTATTGCTATTATCAATAGTATTCTTTCAATTAATTTTCCTAACAGCTTAACTTGTACCAGATACAATTCCTTTTCTACAGTGGGGATCTCCAGATAGCTTTAGCCATGTTTAGGCCCTCCAAAAAAGTATGCTCTGTGGGCCTATTTTGCTGTACCTCTTTCCTCTTGATGGACATTCTGTCTTATTTTAATTGTGGATTCTGCAAAGGCTTAAAAGCATCAAACAACAGGTTTGTCTTGGGTTTCTGGTTCTGATGCCATGCCATCTGTTGAGCCCCCAGGGAGGGAGGTAAAAGAACGCCAGTGAAATGCTGCTCTCCGGGGTACAGCTGTAGAACTCCACACCCCAGCAGCTCTGCCAGGCCGCCAGTGTGTAAACTCTTCCCAAATAAAGTCTGGTGAGAAAGCACAGTGATTTCATGTAGCCAATATTGTCACAGCAAGAGCCTAGAAGAGGCACTCACCAGATTGCACAGCTCAGTTGCCACCCGGCCCAAAGACTTTTAAGTTTAAGGCTCTTTCAAGTTTAAACTGGCCTGGCCATCTATTTCCCAAGAGCCATTCTTTTCTTCAAGACTGACCAGATACTACCTTGGTCAAGTTATTCTCAAGCTGGCATCGTCATTACTCACCTAGTTAAAATCAATAATAACATTTTTACATCGCTTTCAGAGAGCTTTCATGTTTGCAATCACCTCTGATCTGCTTCCATAACCCATAAAGTAGACAGGGCAGTTTTATCATTGATAGTGGTTTATAGAAAAGGAACTGAGGATCAGAGAGGTTAAGTGACTTGCTCAAAGTCACACAGTTGGCAAATGAGAGAGCTGGGTCTGAAATACTATGCTTTCCAAAACTCCACACTGCTATAGCTAGCATGGAGTTACACCTATTCTGAATTAGAATGATTTTTCACTTGCATAACAATTTCAGGGTTGCATAACTATTTTTTTTCTTTTGTAAAACAGATACTTTTTATAATGATTTCCTACTGCTGTGGATGGGCATTGTTGTTACAACAGCAAGAACAGTGGTGGGTTCTAAAGAAGGACATTTCTAACATTTATAGGACTGAACTTTGTGGTCCTGAATTTTGTGACCCATTCTGCTGTCACTGATGATGAGAGGGTTGACAAAGCAGAAGTCTGTTGGTATTTCCATTTTCACTTTTAAGGAATTTCTGTCTTCATGGTGATTTTCAGAGAAAGACCTAAGACAATTATGATTTTAAAAAAACCCAGGAAAACACTTTTCTCTGCTTTCAGCTGTGGCTACTGCAAGAAGGTAGCGTCATTAGAGTTAATAACATGCAAAAATATTTGCATTAATGTCTTACATTCAGGGCTATTCAGCCAGCACACTGGTGCTAGGTCAACAAGTTGACATGAATTTGGCAGGCTTAACCCTGTCTTCTTATGTGCCCACAGCTCCCACCCCAAATTCTTTTCCTCCCCTATAAAAATGAGAAGAGAAATAGCACAATACATCTTCAAATAAAGACAGAGTTGGGTCATGTCTGTGAGGGTTCCCATACTTCTCACAGACTCCCATCCTTCCAATAAGAATATTACCCAATTTGCTCCTGACTGTATGCTTTTTAGTTAAAAGTAGAGCTAGGTAGTGATTTGGGCATCAGCCTGGCGAGGCGTGCCCAGCCCTGGACCCACTCAACTCTACTCCTGGCTCAGCAACCAACCTACTGGATGGCCGAGAGGAGTGTCTGGCCTCTCTCTCTGTCCCCAAGTCATGATGCCTTGACCTTTAGCATCTCCATCTGTAGGCTGGAACAAATACTTTTTTCTAGGCTTGCTGCTGCTGCTGCTAAGTCGCTTCAGTCGTGTCCAACTCTGTGTGACCCCATAGACGGCAGCCCATCAGGCTCCACCGTTCCTGGGATTCTCCAGGCAACAGTACTGGAGTGGGTTGCCGTTTCCTCCTAGACAGTGGTAAAGAACACACCTGCCAGTGCAGGAGATGTTAGAGGTGCCGGCTCAATCCCTGGGTTGAGAAGATCTCTTGGAGGAGCACAGTAATCCACTCTAGTATTCTTGCTTGGAGAACCCCATGCACAGACGAGCCTGGTGGGCTACAGTGAATGGGGTCACAAAGAGTCAGACACAACTGAAGCGACTGAGTGTGCACCCAGGCTTGAACAATGAGCCTGGGCACATGGAACTTTGAGGGTCTTCAAAGAAAAGATCTTTGTGGACCACAGTGAAAGTGGTTGTGTGAGTTGAGCTTGTCCAAGCTCCTTAAAAAATATGCATGAAAGGCTTCTTGATCCTCTACACCTACAAATGAACAAGGGCCAGGGTATCCCACCGTTTGTGAATGGTACCATGCAATGCCAGGATGCTGATAGGAATGCTGAGAATAATTTGAATAAGGGCACTTTCAAAGGTGTCAGATGCTATGTGGCAAAAGGTTTAGCACAGTGATAACAAGTATGCGCCTTGGGACTATTCAGTCTGAGTTTAATCCTCAGACTGACCAATCATGAGCTCTGTGACACTGGGCAGTCTGGGACTTCTGTTTCCTTTGCTTTGAAATGGGGATAATGATGGCACCCCAGTTCACTGTGTTGTAAGAAAGAGGGCATTGTAGAGCCCGGCACATAACGAGCACTTCATCAATAGTTGCTGTTACTGGTCTTACCACTAAAGATCCATACCTCTCAGGTTTTCAAGAAAGGACTCCATATAAACCCTTCCGTTAGCTGCATATAATGATAACAGGTATCATTTTTGCAGTGCTTCCAACGTGCCAGACACTGTGTGAAATGCCTTATAGCTTAGCCCAGGTAATGCTTATAATCATTCTATAAGTGCTATTATATTTCTCATTTCACAGACAAAGCAACTGAGGTCTGGTCAGGTTAACTAACTTCCCCAGGCTTACCTAGCTAGTGAGTAGAGTGGTCAGAATTCAAGCCCAGAGGTCTGCCTCCCCAAGCCTGTCTGCTCATGCTTACTTTCAATTGTCAGGCCACAGGTCCTTGCTTTTAATTCAAAAATACAAAGACTGTAGTCCAACAAATGTACAGAGTTTAAAATATTCTTGCATGATCACAATACAAAATCTGTTTGGACAGAATTTATTGTCCCTGCTAACACAGTAATTTGATTAGGCAAAGAGAAGATTGAAAACAAAAACAAAAACAAAACCCTTGCTCCACCATTTCCTACCAACTAGGAATAAAAAGCCTAAGATAATAAAATGTCTTTCTCAACCCGAATTAGACCGGATGTGCAGATTTCAGTAACTCAGAATTTTGTCGTAGGTAGAGGCGTGCTAGATGTCTATTCATGTAGAATTTTATTAGCTGCTGATAACACGACGGCAGCAGCCTATTGTTGTCTATTTATATATAAACATTTCCATATGTTTTCAACGAGGAACTAAGAAACAAAGCACCCACCATCCGGGACACTGCTTTTCCTCCTCGTTGATGGCATCATTGTCTAATCGTTAGCACATGGCCAAAGAGCTGGGAAAACAAACTGTCTCTGCACAGAGAAACCGGGATGAAGATGCCGGGTCACAGGCTGTTACAACCGCGGCTTCTCAGGCATGTGTTGTCACAAATATCCGGCCCCTCACTGTGCTACGGGCTGTGGGGACACACTCAGGGTGGATTCGGAAAGCTGATTATAGCTAGTGAGAGTGCAGCAGCCCCATGCTGGTTTCACTCGACCCATTTCTGCCCACAAAGCAAAATATCCGTCCTCCTACTCACAGGGTGTGGGGAGAAACCTCCCTTCTGGAGACTGAATGCGTTTTTGCTAAGATAACCAGCACCGATTGAGGCAAATGTATAGATGGGGAGGCCGAGAAGCTCAGTGACAAGCTCAGATACTACGTGTAAACTCCTCGCCCTGCTCTCTTAATGAGGAGAAACACCTCTTCCTTAGGAGTCATGGAAACTGTCTTTCGTTGCCCTGTAATGGACATAATGCAATGCAGAGAAAAGCTCCTGGCTAACCTCCTAGGTTGGAGTTGCTGGAGTAGTTAATATCTGCTTAGGGTTGAAGAGTCAGACGTTTGTTTTGTGCTAGAATCACATCCTATCACTTCTTTTCTTTTTCTAAGGGTCAGCTTACTCTGCCAAAGAACAATTTGGTAACCATTAGCATTCTTTGGGTGCAACGCAAGATTAAAAAGTAGAACAGTGTTTAAAATACATATTCATATTTTCAAAAGCTTACTTCCTAACATAAACACAGGGTGATGTTTGTGTTCTTTGCTTTTATAAAACTCCAGATCATTCTTCTTCAGAAACATAGACCCAAGCTCGACATCTCCTCCCCTCCCAAACTTGGCATCTTTTTAAAGCTTTTATTTTCTCATAACCTAGGCAACCTGTCTTTAGTTTTGAACGAAAATTGCAATCCCCAAAATCAAATGATGAGAAAAAGAGACTCCTAATTATTTGAATTAATCACTTAGCCTCCTTAGTTCAATCTTCAAAGAAGTAAATGCACCCCCCCTCCACCCCCAACACAGACAGAGCAATCAAGGCTTGGTACCACGTCCCTGTTCCGGTAAAAGTTAATATTTTACAGATGATGGTGGTGACGCTCTTTGGTCAGGTGGTAAGCTCAAAACAAGTTCTCAGAAGGAATCATCCTACGAGACCATGCGCTGAGTTGCTATAGTCATCCTCTCCAGTGCAGCCAGTGATCCTGGAATTCCCATTTCAAAGGCTATAACTGGGGTAGGCGA